AAAAAAAAAATGCTACTTTGCTGATACACAGTGAACTATGTTAGAAAAAATAAAAATTTAAAAAAAAAATAAAAACCGAGAACAGGACAAATGACTGCAGTGACTTTAGCAATTGCTTAGAAAAACTATAAAGCTGAAATAAAAACCTTTGTTGTTGTTGTTGTTGTTGAGACTTTAAGCTGCTGTTGTTGAGTTCTATTGATACAGCTGATAGCAAAAAACTTCCATTCTGGCATTTGATCAAAGTTTGCAAATTTCATGAGCAATAATTTTGAGTTGTCTTTTCTCTCGTCACAGTAAATACTTCTCATTAAAAAATTTATAACGAAAGACGCCAAATTACAACTTTCTAATGAGTTATAGTTTAATTTTTTTTGACACTGTTATAATTTAAATTATTTACCTATTGTTCATCAAAAATCTCTGATCAAACAGTTTTGTTTTTTCTCTTGTAACCATTTCGCTCTGTGAGTTATTCTAACAAATTCGTTAATTTATCAAGATAAATTTTCAAATAACAAAGCATTTATATATTAACAAATACAGTTCAGGACTTTCATAATGAAACTTTTGTCATATTTAAGCAAAACTTTTGTTTTTGATAGTGTTGTTGAAATTAAACAAATAGATTAAAAGCTTTTTTTTTGCATTTATTACAATTATCCCGTCAAATTTCTAATAAATACATAAATTCTAACTACTAACCGAACGACAGTCAACACACAAATATAGACGACAGTTTTTCATAGAAAACTATGTTGATTAAATGTTTCATTGATACAGCAACAGTTCTAAATGATTTAATAATTCAAAACAAATAAAAAAAAAAAACAATTTAATAAACTATTGAAAAGCTCAGACTCAGTTATCAGTTAGCTGAATGTCTCTGCCTTTTCTAAAACTTCATTAAGCACGTCTTCTAAACTAACGCTACTTTAGAAAATCATTTTTTATAATGCAGCGTTTTGTCCACTTAACATTTATTGACTGCCGTTTTCAACTGAGTATAGTTAACAATTTTTTCAGAAACATCTTTCATAATGACATGTTTTTTAATGTTTTAATTTTTTTTAATTTAAATATTAAAATGTTAACTATTATTTTTGAGAATACGTCGGTTAACCGGCAGAAAAAGTGGGCAAAATTTGCAGCTCTTTGTACTTTTCAGGTTCTTTTTGCATGCTCTATAATCTCTATGTATCGTTATGCCTTCGACTCTCAGATAGTCAAAACGTCAAAAAATGTCTTTCTAATTTATATTTTTTTCTTTTTAAACTTAATTTATATTATTACTCAATGTCTGTCATGTGTTGACAATTCGTCGACTGAACAAGACCGTAGATTCAAACAAGATGAACGATTAGTCTTATTGCCGATACGGAACAAAGCTACAGGTTTGACCACCGTCGCATGGCATAGTTTCAAAACTACTTCCGCGACACCCTTTGGTCATGAACGGTTCGTATATACAGTTTCGTGTCCGTACCTTTTTGCCACATAAACACTTTCCCCAATCGCTCCAATCTGACCATTTACCTTCTGCAAAAAAAAAGACAAGTTTAAATTGACAAAATCGACAACCGCCACAATAATAGATAAAAAAAACTTGTTTTTTTATAGGGTTAAACAAAACTGTCAATTTTTTTTGTTTAAATTATATTAGTTGCAAAATTTTTTATCCTTCAAATAATTTCCTAAAAATTTTTGAGCAAAAAAGATCAGGACCAAAGAAATTTTTTGGGACCTGAGATATTTTAACTGCAGTTGCCGATAATACAAATAACCTATTATCAGTTTTGTTTTGAAACGTCAATCTTTTGCTTCTAGCAATAGCTCATCAGTTTAAACATTAGACCTTAGTTTTAAAAAATTCATGATTTTTTCACTCAATTATTCTTGCGTTCTTTAAAAGCCAAACAAAATCAAAACGACATACGACAATCTAAAGCCTTAGGTAACAGCATATTTTAACGTGGCTATATGAAAAGGTTTTTGCAGCTGTAATGACTGATAAAAAAAAGGTATGCTAAAAACTGTAGCAGATACCTCGTGCGCTGATTGTTGTCCTTCCATTAACTATAGTCATAAAGTCAAAATCAGGTTTTGCAGTAACGGAAATTACTAAATTTGGTCCTACTTTCGAATGGTGTGAGGTCATAAACGAATTTTTCAGCTTTCCTTCTGCTACCATACTTGTACCGCGCAATTCTTTTTGACTCTGCAAATAAACTTGATCTTCAATTGTGTAATTTAAAGCCGTCTTTCTTCAGAAAAGGTCTTAAACACATTCTTCATCTACCTTCTAAACACCCGACCTAAAAATGAAATATTTTGTTATACTTACAAAAAATGCAAATTGCTTTTTAACTAGAAGCTATGAAGCAACATAAAATTGATTGGATCTTTTTCATAAGGCTGGGCTATATACCGGGGCAGGTACTGCAGAAAGAACCATTTCAACAGAGGTTACGGAACTAAGATAACTTCATAGCTAATCCCAAAACATGAAAATTTTGTCAGTTTTTTTCCTGAATCAACGAAATGAAATTATAAAATTGTTTCAAACAAGCGTTGAAGTATTGAAACAAACACTTTTTTTCTAATCACCTGTTGCTTCTTAGACAATACATTGGTTTTTTTGGCTTTTATAGTTTTTGGTGCAAAGATCTTTTTGGACTTCACCGGTTTTGGTAGATAAATCCTACTAGGTTGCAGCGAGATATCGTCTTGTCTTGTCGAAACACTTGGATGTGCATTAACTTTTGGCTAAAAATTGTTTTTGAATAGATGGAGAATACTAATAATAAGCTTAAGGTCTACTAAGGTTAGTATTTCAGAATTCACCATCCTAAAAGAACAC